GCATTAGAATCGCATGGAGTCAGCTGTTTTCCGTTCGGCTATTTTCTGAGGACATCTCAAATCGCTCTTTATTTACATCAGATCATTCTACCTAATTATAATAGTCCATACTAAGACTGGAAAGTTAGCCATTATCAAATTATGGAGAATTTGTGCGTTTAACAAAGAATATTTTTCAACATAAATGATGTTGAAAAATGTTTGATCGAAGATTTTCAAAGTCGAAGAATCCGACTATATAATGGGATTCTTAATATTGCACACTTGATTTCTCACTACGGCGAAAGACTATTATAGAACAGTTCACCGAGAAACCAATTACAGGTTCAGATTTCTCGGTCTAAACAACTTGTAATCAAACTGTATATATGGTAACTTTTCTCCCCTATCTCGGTGGCCAGAAGCATTGGAATCAACCTTTTCCTATTAGTTAACAGTCTATTAAAATTTCAAAAATAGATTCGATTTAGAGCATTAAATGGCGCATCTTTTGAAAAAGAAAAGATCAACGTTTAACAAAGTTACATGTGAAAAAATTTACCACACTGGGTATTCGTATATTACTAACCACAAGTGGGAAAACTCGTCGACGATCGTTATTAGCTGGTGTTTGTTCCGCAAGTAATTGAACAACATTTATAGCTTCTTCAACTCGTCCCATATCAGCATAACAAATCGCCTGCATAAAAAAAAGTCAATTTTAATCATTTAATTTATTCTTAAAATATTAGCATACTCGAATATTTTTTATAATAGTATAATTTTGTACTCGAACACCACCTAAAATTTCCATAGCAAATGATGGTTCACCCTAAAAAAATTGATTCATTTTCAAATTATAAAAATCTATTGTTTTATCATCTTTATTTACTTGTTGAATAGATAATAAGGCAACCATAGCAGCTGTACGTGGATTTATATCAGGATCACTTTCTCGTACTTTAGAAATGATTTCTTTTGCTTTTACTAAGGATTCTTTTGTATTCTATGAAAAACAAAATTCTTCTTATTATTTTTTATTATAATGAAATAAAAATATTTTTACTTTTCGAAATAATCCTTCAATAGCTAACATAACAACATCCGATGGATATGTTCGTCCACTAGTTGTTGAAAATCCGCGTTTACTACCATGTTCAAATACTTTAATTGCATCATCATAACGTTTTTCTTCAATTAATTTATTCATAAGAACAAGTGCTGATGCAGAATCATTGAATATATTTTTCAAACTCTATTAAAATATTTACAATAAAAATAAAATAAATTCAAGCTTTTTTTACTTCATCCATATATAAATCTAAAGCTAGATTAGTTTTATTTTGTATATAAAGCAAACGCATAATAGGTGAACCAAAATGATAATCACTAAATTTAACTTTATTTGTACTATATCTAAATACAAAAGAAAAAATAATATAGAAAAGAAAAAATTTTAATTTGTTTTGTTCAAGACTTTTTTAATGCTTGAATAACCGTATCAATTTCTTGATCATTTTCAGCTGACATAATCATATTACGTAAATCTTCTGTAAAGATTTGAGAATTTGTTTGTTCAATAGAATCAACAAAACGCTTTTTAAAAGCATCTAAATTTTTTGGAAAATATATAAATAAATAAAACTAAAACAGGGAAATGAAATATTTACCAAGTGATGGTGCATAACGTGCAGTATGTTGATCCCGAGATAATTTAAAATTATCAATGCCAATACCTGAAGTTGAAAATATTGTACGCACTTGCATATGGAACTTTCCACATGATGCACCTAAACGAAATAAGAAAGGTTTTTGTTATATAATTTAAAGATTGGTATTAGATCAAAAGTTTATTTTTCATTTATTTAAAAATAAAATCTTCGTATATTCGAAATCATCCTAACAAATCTAACCACTTTAAGAATGAATTAGTTTTAATTTACTCGGAATGTTTCATATTAGTTGATCTTTTCTAGGATTTGTCAAGGTAACACAATATATGTGGTTCGAATCTCATCAAAAGATCATTTAAAAAATGAACATATGAAAACAAATTCATAAATAATACTTAATTTCATTTAGTAATTATACTTATCAGGTGTACAGGAAGTTTTCTCAGAGAACATACAGTATGCACGGCCAATCATAACTTGAGAAGAACGTTGTAAGAACAAGAAAAGAATATTTGGTAAGTACGCTCTATTTATTGAGTCATAAATATTAGCTTGTCAAACATTTATATTCTGATGGTTTTAATATGAAGTCAAAAGAAATTTGTATATATTAGCCTACTGCATCGTTCGACAGGACACTTTCGATACACTTGACACATCTAGTTTTAATGATACTACTTGAATTAAGACTTATATTTGCTTTTTGATTTATTTGCAGCAATTTGAAATTTCATATAGACTTAATTTCGTCTTTCTCGATATTAATTATTATTCTTAAACGAATTGATTAATAATTAAAAATCCCAAATCAACTTACGATTGATAGCCAAAATGGCAATTCGTCGAAGAATATCAGCCATCTAAAACAAAATATAATAAACATATAATTCCCTAATCATTTTCTATACAGTCTGAATAAATGAATTTCTATTAATGTTCGAAATTTTATTTTATTAATTAATAATCATTCGAACAGTGTTCTTTTTGTTGTTTAAATATCAATATATATATATGTATATTGATCGTAAATATATGATGACTCAGAAAAAAAGGAGTACTTAGAAATGTGATCGATTAAAATCAAAGTCAACATGTTAGGGCAAAAAACAAGAAAAACAACACTAATATAGAGATAGAATATGTGGACTATCAGTAAAGATTTTTATTGGAGAAAAGAAAATATTTACGTTATTCAATATTCTAGATGAACTAATTTAAATAAATTATCATTAAAGAAAAATAGAAATGCTTTTCAAAAACTTTTTATGATCAAATTTTTATTTTAAATTTTACTATTATAGATGTCGCTTCAAATTTAGAGAAAACGAAAAAAAAAATATTGGTTCATCTCACAAAGCGATACATAGCATGTATTCTATCGAAATGTTTTTATGAAAAAAAATCGTCAGAGCAATAAGTAAGTTTACCACAACAGTGACATGTCAGTCTTTCTTCGTGACTTGAGAAAATTTTAGTACAGATATTTTAACCAATGGTGGAGCCAGAGAAGGCTTAACAATTTCCCAGCGAGATTTTTGAAAGATGTATTTATTCATTGAAAAATCTAGTCATGGTTCTTAGGTCGCTGTAGCCCTCATTCTTGACTCCACCACTGATTTTTGACAGTGATTCTAGTATGTACTTCTTTGTTACATCCCTTTACGTTTTGCACGCCTAGAATAATATCATCGATTTATATAAATAATGTTCACTAATTTAAATGGTAATTTATTGAAACTAGGGCATAAAACAATCAAACAATAAGCTAATGTTTTCACTTCAACAAAAAAAGATGAGGACAGATAAGCATGATGGACTTGTTTTAGTGTGAAAACAAGACAGGAAAAACTCCCATCCATGTATGCAGCATAGGTCTATGTATCTATAGGGTAGCAATTATGTAACTAAATGAAAAATGATTTACGATTGTTCTTTTCTTGTTGATTTAGTAATCGGTTGATCTTCAAGATTCAATGATGATAGCATTTTTTCAGCACTTGCTGATTCAGTTGAAGTTGCATTTCCAGTAATTGTTGTTTCTTGCAATACATTTGGTATAGTAAAATCATTTTTTACTACTATTGATGTTTTATGATCTTCATGCGGTACCTTTTTTTGATCATCATGTGAATCATTTGACTCACCATGATCATGTAAACCAAAAGCAACTTTATCATCATGTTTTGTTGTTTGGTGTGTAGATGCTAAGTCTGACTGATGGTCTTTTCCAATTGTTATTTGACGTATTTCGTCATCGAGAGCATCAGGAAATGTTGGTTCATTTGCTGCTGCAGCATTAGCAACAGCAACACTGGCTGCACGAAATTGTTTATCAAGAGGAAGATGTGTAGCTGATGCTGGACGTGTGAATGAAGGTTTATATGCTTGATCGGTTGATGAAGGTTCTTTAGATGGAACCTAATATGAGAATTATTTAATTTTCATATTTAAAATTTAATGAATTACTTTTTGAAATGAAATTTGTGGTGGTGGTGGTGGTGGTGGATGATGTTCATCTTCATCGTCAGTTGCTTCATCATCATGTTCAGGTGGTGCTGGTGTTGATGAACGAGATATACCTGGTGTTGACGGATTGGACGACGTTTCACTTGTCTGAATGAAATATACTAGAGAGAATCAATAGAAACAAAATATTTACAAGTTTGAGCATTTCTTCTTCGAACTCTGGATGAATTCGTGTTAATGCCATTTGACGAGCGCGATAGTAATACTAAAAAGAAAAAACATGTGATAATGTTTTCGATAATTACGAGAAAACTACCTCAAGTCACATCTGTCGTTTGAGTTTATTTTCGATTCACAGATAGATTTCAGTAAGACTAACAAAAACCTAGAAGAGTTCGTTTCCATAAGTCTTGGTCATCGAGTTATGATCGCTTTATTAGATTCGTAATTCATTTTTAGGTGCTCACTGGAAGAGGGAGTAATGATGTTTTAATCTAAAATTTTGTTTATAAATAGGTCAAATGACGCTTAGAATATCCTGAAAGTTTCAATCGAGAACAATGTTCTTTCGTCAAGATATAGAATTTCTACAAAATAACCGTTTGCCACAGACAAGTCACGAAAATCAAGTTCACTTGCTGATTCAATAACTCGACGAAGGAATATTCTTTTCGACTGAAACTTGTAGAACATTCTAAGAGTAATTAGACTTATCTACAGACGAAATTTAGAATCAAAACTAAATTATAAAATTTTCCTGAGACTACCTGAATATGGGTCAAAAATTGACGTATGAGGCCTATGGGCCTAATATGAGTTTAAATAGTCGATGTCACTTGAAGTAGTTCTCGTTATAAAAAAAATTTCAATTATTATCTTGTTGTTCATAAAATATTTCTATTTTCAATCGTAGACAATGAATAAGTGCAAGAAAAAACTCAAGTCACCTGAACAATATTTCTTGATATATTCAAGTGTGGTAGTAGAGGTAAATTGTTAAGATTTCCACGAAATATTACTACAGAAGAAAAATTCAAAGTTTTAATTCAAATTAATATTATCTGACTTTCTTGATAATCAAGGTTTGTCGTAATAGACATGAAAAGATAGGTGCTAACCCTGATTTTTCAAAACAATAACAGATCAGGTCAGAGTCTTAGAAATGCCAAGTCGATTACCTATCTTGCATATTTTTTTCGAAATTTTCCGCTGTTGAGGATAAAATGTAGGTATGAAAATATATTACAATGGCGAAGAATTATCGGACTCCAAGAAATTTTTTATGCCAGTTGTAATCAGTTTTAAACGCTAAGCTCAAAAACAAAACTGAAAAAATACAAATTTTCAATCAATTCCGAAACCTTTTTTTTTTGTATTTCATGAATTTCAACTACAGCTTCGGAGAGAGCAATCACGGTTGATATAAATAATTCACAAGAACTATATTCTTAATGAAGAAATGTCATCTATCACCCCATATTCTAAGAACTGATACGACTCATTAGAAATTGTGACAACATTGTCCATTGTCTATTTATTTATTTCATTTGTTCATGTATTTCACTAACTTAACGTGTGCACTCTCGAAACGATTATCATTAGTATCTTATATAAAGCGTTGATTAATTTATATTTTTTTCTGTTTCATATTTATTTCGTATTAATTTAGCAGGACTTAATATGTCCTTTTGATTTTGTTCATTCAATACATTCAAAATCTTCTTACAGAAAAATAGATTTTTTTTCTAAAAGTTAATCTTTTCTCTTTTTTATTTGTTTATTTCCGACACATAAGTACTATACTAAATCAATAAATCTTTTTCATAGTCATGTCATTTCAGTCTGTATGTGTTCTTTATCTTCATATAAAGATAGTCTTCTGTTTCCTTTTAATTATTATCATAATATTAGTATGCAAAAAAACCATACTAGTCACGATAAACAAGTAGACTAGTCTGACAAAAATAGGTCACGGGTACTGATAGACTGATGTGATTTATATCGTATTGTAGTAGGCCAAATCACAGAAAAAAAAGAGGCTACATTGTACCTCTGTATAAGAAGATATTCTGCTTTTTGAACTTACAATGCCTAATATATTCCAATCAAGTAATTCGCTCAATCGTTCTGTACGATTACGTAAAATAATACGTTGTCGTCTGGTTAATAATGAAAAATCAAACATATACTAAAACAAAAAATAAAGGAAACCATCAATTTTTGAAAATAATATTTCTTTAATTTTACTTGTGCAAGTTGTTGACATGATTCTTCACCACTTTTGTGTCTTCTATCAACAACATAAATTCCATATGATTGAGGTTCATTAACATGTTCTTCCATAAAACATCCAAAACCACTTAAATTTGTTGAAATATTTGGTACACCCATAACTGTACATTCAGCTGGTGTATAACCCCATGGTTCATAATAAGATGGAAATACACCCAAATGACAACCACGTACAAATTCATCATAATCAAGTGGTAATAATGGACTTGTTGAACGTAAAAATTCAGGATGAAATATAACTTTAACACGATCCGAACGTGCATTAAATAATTGACAACTACGTAAAGCCTTTAATATTGGATCGTTAACATCATCACATACATTATGTGTACAGATTGGTGGTAATGTTGAACGCTAAAAAAGAAAGATTTAGTTTTTCAAAAAGAAAATAAGAGACAAGATTAGAAATTATACTTGTGATGCATAAATACATTTTTTTAATTCAATTAAATCACTTGGATGTAAAATTTCTGTAGGAGTTGGTAGGTGACCTCTAAAGAAATAAATTGAATTATTTATTATTTAGAAAATTTCACACACAAAACGACTGGATATTATGTAAACAGATACATAAGCTGAAAGATATTATACTCAAGTATAATATTAAGGAGTTATCAAAAGTCTTAGTAGGATGTATTTTTATTGTTTCTATTGTGTCTTCATTTCTTATTTTATTTTCTGTTGATTTTTCTTTTTCATAAATTGTTTTGGTTTTTCTAATAACTTCCATTAGTAATTTGTATTAAATCATTACAATTACCATTATTGACTGTTTGTACTGCCGAACGTGTTTCTTAATTGTTCGCTCATCAAATACTTATTCTTCATTTCTTTCACGGTTTATAATATCAATATTTAATGTCCTACTTAATTTCATTTGTTGATTCTATGCAAACTAACTTTCTTTATTTACTTTTCAGGCTTCTAAAGTAAAAACACATTCTGTTTTTCACTGTATTACTCATATTAAAATTTTGAGCAATCACTTTATCGATCATTTTTCTACTATTCTATTCAAATATCTAATTTGTACAGGTACTGGCAATATTGATCAGTGTTAACGTCATTTATTTCTCTATGTTCTTCATCATATCACCCAAGA